ATAATGGTAACATCAATAAATAGTCGTGTCCAGTAGTGTATCGGATATAGTGGTTACATTAATGGATAATTGTGTCCACTTGTGTATTGGATATAGTGGTAACATCAATGGATAATTGTGTCTAGTTGTGTATTGGATATAGTGGTAACACTAATGGATAGTTGTGTATTGGATATAGGGGTAACACTAATGGATAGTTGTATATTCGATATAATGGTAACATCAATAAATAGTCGTGTTCAGTAGTGTATCAGATATAGTGGTTACATTAATGGATAGTTGTGTCCAGTAGCGTATTGGATATAGTGGTTACATTAATGGATAGTTGTATCTAGTTTTGTATTGGATATAATGGTAACATTAATGGATAGTTGTGTCTAGTTGTGTATTGGATATAATGGTAACATTAATGGATAATTGTGTCCAGTTATGTATTGGATATAGTGGTTACATTAATGGATAGTTGTGTCCAGTAGCGTATTGGATATAGTGGTTACATTAATGGATAGTTGTTTCTAGTTGTGTATTGGATATAATGGTAACATTAATGGATAGTCGTTTCTAGTTGTGTATTGGATATAGTGGTAACATTAATGGATACTCTTGTCTAGTTTTGTATTGGATATATAGTGGTAACATTAATGTATAGTTATGTCTAGATTTGTATTGGATATAGTGGTAACATTAATGGATAGTTGTGTCTAGTTGTGTATTGGATATAGTGGTAACACTAATGGATAGTTGTGTATTGGATATAGGGGTAACACTAATGGATAGTTGTGTCTAGTTATGTATTGGATATAGTGGTAACACTAATGGATAGTTGTTTCTAGTTGTGTATTGGATATAGTGGGTAATTATGGACAAAGAGAACATGTAGGTTTTTGATTTACGACTAACAAAGTTCTAGACATATTTACCGTTTTTCTTTTCGTGAAAAGTTTCTTTTTCCTCCCCCGAACTCATAAATCTGAATGATGCTTAAACAGTTTAAGTTATGGTAAGTAGATCTGGTGTGAATGAATGACATTTACATGGTTTCAGTCGTGTAAATTAAAACTGCTGTGATTGAACTATGTTTACACGGTTTCAATTGTGTTAAATAAAACTGCTGTGAATGAATTATGTTTACAGGGTTTCAGTTGTGTTAACTAAAACTGTTGTGATTGAATGGTGTTTACACGAGTTCAGTTATGTTTCTCTGTTTACCCATTGAAACATTTCCACTTATTTCACCCAGCAGATCGAACTTATGTAGACTTGTCAAATATTTAATGATTTTTCGTGGTGTTTACAGATGTTAAATGAAAATCTTTCTTTCATATTTTACCTACAAAATTTGCATCAAACTACATTGAGTTTATTTCTTGTTTACTCGTTCAAAGTTTGATAATAAAACAAGTGTTCAATCGTCAACATTCCGCGAACATTGTTGTTTCTTGTTATTGAAGGATTTAAATCTTAATTGCATCTAGCCTGTTCACGTTTAGATAATTAGAACGGTCGTTATTTCTATGGCCTTTTACACCTTATTTTACTCTTTTTAATAGGTACTGAAGGCCAAATATTCTGAATCAGGAAGTGAAAAGTTTGATTTCCAGAGTCACGAAACAGTTAAGCTCGAGAAGCATGAAAAGTGTTCGTTTCAATGTAAGGAGAAAGCTTCAGACTGTTCGAGCCAACAGATTTATAAGGAAGACGAATGCTGTTGCGTTTGTAAAAATCAACATAGATCTGGCAGCTGTCATAAGGACCAAATCTGGGACTCCGAGGTCTGCGAGTGTAAATGTAAGAACTATTCTAAGTGTTCGACAGGGCTCTATTTTAACACGCGGACTTGCAGGTAAGACATCTGCACGAAGAGAATAAATATTTAGTGAAGAAATATTGAAGTTACAAACATTAAATTAACCACAAAGAATTTCTGAAAATACATATGAGTGACACAGAGGCACATAAAAATCGAAGTTTACGTGCAAAGTTGTGGTGGTAAAATAGAACAAAGCTGAGTAATAAATGTAGTGGTAAAACATAATAAAACTGAGTAATAAATGTAGTGGAAAAATAACGGTCATCATAAAAACATCAATTTCTTCATCTTTCATTGTTCTAGTCGTCAAAAAGGGTTTCGGTAGCCTAGACTTTCATTAGAGATCAAATGATAAATTAAAACGTTAATTGTGATAAATTTCAGACTAAGAATGATTCTGATTTCTCCCTTTTAATGATTTTATTGACGTTTTTAACTTAATTTAATTTAGTACCTTAACTGATTACCTGAATTTTCTACAACAGTGGTCATGATAAAGTATATTACCTGAGTAATAAGAGATGACTAAAACATGCTTGGTTTACTACTAGAGGGGTGAGAGATTATTACAAACATGGTTGGTTTACTACCAGAGTGGTGAGAGATTATTACAAACTTGCTTAGTTTACTACCAGAGTGGTGAGAGATTATTACAAACATGCTTAGTTTACTACCAGAGTGGTGAGAGATTATTACAAACATGGTTGGTTTACTACTAGAGTGGTGAATGATTATTACAAACATGGTTGGTTTACTACCAGAGTGGTGAGAGATTCCACTCTAGTAGTAAACCAACCATGTTTGTAATAATCTTTCACCCCTCTAGTAGTAAACCAACCATGTTTGTAATAATCTTTCACCACTCTAGTAGTAAACCAACCATGTTTGTAATAATCTCTCACCACTCTAGTAGTAAACCAAGCATGTTTGTAATAATCTCTCACCCCTCTAGTAGTAAACCAACCATGTGTGTAATAAGTCTCTCACCACTTTGGTAGTAAACCAACCATGTTTGTAATAATCTCTCACCCCTCTAGTAGTAAACCAAGCATGTGTGTAATAATCTCTCACCACTCTGGTAGTAAACCAACCATGTTTGTAATTTGAGAGATTATTACAAACATGGTTGGTTTACTACTAGAGTGGTGAAATATTATTACAAACATGGTTGGTTTACTACTAGAGTGGTGAAAGATTATTACAAACATGGTTGGTTTACTACCAGAGTGGTGAGAGATTATTATAAACATGCTTAGTTTACTACTAGAGGGGTGAGAGATTATTACAAACATGGTTAGTTTACTACCAGAGTGGTGAGAGATTATTACAAACATGGTTGGTTTACTACCAGAGTGGTGAGAGATTATTACAAACATGCTTGGTTTACTAGCAGAGTGGTGAGAGATTATTACAAACTTGCTTAATTTACTACCAGAGTGGTGAGAGATTATAACAAACATGGTTGGTTTACTACCAGAGTGGTGAGAGATTATTACAAATATGGTTGGTTTACTACCAGAGTGGTGAGAGATTATTACAAACATATATATTTTTTTCATGTAAAATGAGGCGCCATCTGGAGAATAAACTAGAAGCTTCACGTTCTGGCTTCATTATTATTACAACTGTATAGTTACATCTTACGTGAATTCACGTCATTTAATACTTTAGAATCCGAATGAAAAATGTGTTTTTCTTTAAAGGACGTCTTATGTCCGTAGAGTGTTATAAACTATTCTTATTGACCTAATAATATTTGCTCATGATGAAGAAATGTTTTAGCAATTTGGAAATATTTCTCTAAAAAAAAAAAATACTAAATATATTCACAATTAGTGGAGTGCGAGCACGTGACGTTTTCATGACAACAATATGTGCAATGAATAAAATTAAGCATCTGAAGTTGTTATATCAACAACATATGTATATATTGAAACTTTTATATGTATATACTTTAAAGTATTGTAACTGTGTAAACCTGTTTTAATGAAGCTTACGATATCTTTTAAGTTTCCTTTGTTTTTCTTTGACGTAGATGTAACACTGTCAGTCTGCTATGAAGTTTTTAACCCTAGCTCGACGTCGCTTTGTAGCCCAGTGAGACTTCTTCATTCGAGAGATAAACTACCTGGTTTTAAAAACTTCTTATGTAGTTAATAAACATACAGTTGAGTCATGTATATGCTAATTTTATACATATTTTACAGTTAATTATGATCAATGAATAAATTATTATAATCTTTTCAGTCACTACCAAATTCTGTTCTATGTTATTTTTTTCTTGGCCGTATATATCTAGAAATAACGTCCTTGACTTTATGACCCAGCCGTTTATTCTGTCTAAGTTTCCAGTTGGTGAGTGTTTCTTATTTGCCTGTTTCTTGTTTATTGACAGGTCTTTTAAGAATGTGGGACCGTTCCGTTTGAGCAAGAAAATCACATCCTCCATGGTCTTGTTTGGTTATTTTGATGTACATTCCAAATAGTGCCTTTATTAATAGTCAGGTGGCGCTTCTGATGTACTGACTTTCATAAGTCTAACAAACAAACAATAAATAAATGAAGAAGGAATTTGGAATATTTCATCCTTGAACAAACTTTTAAATGTTAAATGATTGAAACACGGTTCGTAGTGAGAACTGAAGATATATCCTTTGGTTACCAAACCTTTACACTTTCATGATGTTAGGAAAATACATAGATTCAAAAAGTACTTAGAGACAAAAATACAAAAACCCTATAACTCGAGCTTGAAATAAACATTTAACCATATGTCTGCTCATAAAAGTCACCAATAAATATGAAAATATATCTTGTAGTTGCAAAGATTATTTTTAACTTTCTTTCCAGTTTCTTAACAGTCACAACAGTTCCAAAAACTATAACAATTACATTTTTATTTGTAAATATGAAATAAATCTTCCATTCCTTGATGCTATAATCAAGATTATGAACCCTGGTTTTGAAGTTGAAGTACATTACAGAACAACCTCCACTGGTTATTAACTGTTTGAATATTTTTCTTGATCATTTAAAGACGTATTTAGTTTTCATTCTTGTATTTGATTTATATCTTATGTTCCAACTATAAAACTACCCGTATAATAAAACTTTCAAGTTCTCACTACGAAATCTTTTCAGATTCAAAATTCATTTTTCGTATATCGTTTATTTGTTTAGTTATCCAGCTTGTGAAAGTCAGTATATGAGAAGCGCCACCTGACTATTAAAAGGCGCTATTTGGAACATGCATAAATAAATCAAACAATACATCACACGTATATTGTTAAGTGCACGTTGGATGTGATTCGTCTGATCGAATGAATTATTTCCACATTCTTAACACACTTGTCAAGAAACCATCTTTCGCCACCCTTGAACTTTGACCGGAACTTAATTCTATATAATCTGTGAAAAATATTAACCCACGTATGTAAGCCTAGATTGGCTTCGATCAAAAAATCTAGATATAAATAAAGCAGTGGAAAATGAAAATAATGTTTTGATTGATTAACTTGATAAAAAAAAAACAATTAAAAATAATGGTAATTAAAGTGTTCTCTGTT